TTTGTCTTCCTTTTCATCTTCTTCCTGGTCTCCCTTCTTCTTGTCTTTTTTCTTGTCTACTTTCCTGTTCCTTTTTGTCTCCCTTTTCATCTTCCTTTTCACCTTCCTTTTTGTCCGCCTGTTCATCTTCCTTTTCATCTTCCTCCTTGTATTCCTTTTTGTCTTTCTTCATGTTTTTACCTTCTCGCCTTCCTTTCGCTCTCCCTTTACATCTTCCTTTTTTTTTCCTGTTCCTTGTCTTCTTTGTTGTAGTATTCTTCCTTGTGTTCTGAGACTCCCCTCTTGTCTTCCTCCTTGTCATATGTAGTATCCTGGTCGTATTCTTCCTTGTATTCTCTCCTCTTGTCTTCCTTCTTGTCTTTCTACTTGACTTCGTTCTTGTCTTCCTTCTTGTCTTCCTTTTTGTCTTTTTTGCTGTCATATCCATTCTTGTATTCTCCCTTTTGGTCTGCCTTCTTGTCACATTGAATTCCTCCTTGTATTCTCCTTTCTTGTCTTCTTTTTCAAATTCCTTCATTTTGTCTGTCGTCTTGTCTTCCTTCTAGTCTTCCTGCTTGTTGTATTTCTCGATGCACCCTCCCTTCTTGTCTTCCTTTTGATGGTCCTCGCGGTCTTCCTGTCTGTCTTCCTTCTTGTCTAGCTTATCGTTGGCGCCCTTTTGTCACGCTTTCGTGTTGCTTTTTGTCTTCTTTTCATCTTCCTTGTTGTCTTCCTTTCCTCCTTTTTTGTTGTCTTCCTCTTTGTGTTCTTTGTTGTCTTATTCATCCTTGTATTCTCCCTTCTTGTCTGCCCTCTTGTCATATTTGTCCTTCTCATATTTGTTCTTGTATTCTCCATCCTTGCTTTGCTTCCCACCTTCCTTCACATTTCCCCCTTTGTCCTCCTCCTTGTCATATCCTTTCCCTTCATCCTTTCCATCATCCTTCCTTTCTCCTTTGTAGCCATTGGGTGATTCCTTCATGTATTCTGCCTTCTCCCTGTACTCCTCGTCTTCCTTACTGTAGTCTCCCTTGTTGCCGTGCTTATCCTCGTGGCCGATCTCTGCAAGCAGCCTAGCGGCCTTGTTCAGCTTCACTTTAAACTCCTTACTCAGCCTGTCTCTCTGAGTGCGGTTGGCAGGGATGGCTATGGAAGTTTGTACTGCGGCTAGTAGGAAAAGGAGGACCACAAAGCCGGTGGCTGGGTGCAGCCACCTGGATTGCCCAGGGGCTATTCCTGAAGTAGACTTCATGGCGTCAGGCACATGATAGCCCAACTGCTGCTGAGGGTTTACCAACTGTTGCGCAGGGGCTACTAGCTAGTATGTCGAGACAGTCGCAGTGATCTCAATGGACTGCTGGACCACTTCTACTAGATGGCAGAGCAAGGTGGCTATGGATCAGGTCTTAGCCAGTGCCTGACAGTTGGTTGCCTGACAAGCCTGCTTGTGGTTCTGCTGGGTGGGGACTCCTGGACACACCTTGCATAGTCAACGGCACATATTGACTGAAGCTCATGACTGGCATAATTTTTTATTTGTCTTTCGAGACTGTTTCTTGACAGACAGGCAGGCAGGCTTGGGGACATCAGGTATGGAGTTTAGGTACGGTATCAGTAGTGTCCCTATATCCTGATCACCTTCTGTTTGTCTCTTTCTCTCTCTGCCAAAGGAAAATCATGGGTGGTGTAGAATGCTTTTGATTCCATGCACACTGTACTCAGCAGACGGCCATAACAACTCACCCTTGGCTGTGCGAAGTCAATGGCATACTAATCATTTGTTTCGAGAGGGGTGGAGAAATGTGTTTTCAAAGAAGAGAAAAGGCACAACTTTTAGGGTGGTGTATCTCCATACCAGTTCATAGTGCATACTGTTATAATTCTACTATTTCTAACTTTAGTTCTTTATGTCACAGTCCGTAAAGCATGATCCCGGCTGGAGCCCCAAATACAAAACAAAACAAAAAAAACAGGGGCCAGAGGGGGCATAGAAACAGACAGCAAAAGAGTTCAAGTTCCAGGGGCCAGAACGGGGATGAAGGTCATCAACCTCCCAGAAGAGGCGTTGAGTACGAACTGGCCTAGCTCAGTTGGTACACTCCTTAACTGTTGAAATACAGACCCCCCTGAGTTCGAACTCCATAGGAAGCAGATGAGTGAAATACTACAATTCTGAATTACCAAGGTCCGGTCAGCTCCATGACGATATCACAAGGTCGTTGCCCTTTAAAAAAAAAAAAAAAAAAAAGAAGAAGAGGCAAGCCCAAGGAGTCAAGGAGTCAGAGTATAGAAGTAAATAAAATTTCTACAATTGGGTCGCGGAGAACAGAGGGGCTCTACAGGCCACGGCATTCAGGTTTCGCAGACTGTATTACGGCGGGGGGTTCTGAGGAGGGAGGGGCTTAAACCACCAGTACCTCTCCCTGCTTGTGGAAATCGACGCGGCCGTATACGCGCCGCGTCGCGCGGGGTACCCACCGGCGTGCGACCGGTAGTCCCCAAAAAACGGGGCCAAAAAAAA